CACACAATCCTTGAATTAATACATTTATGTTCCCTCTTTTCCTGCCATAACTTATCCTTCAACATTATTGCTACTCCTTCTTTAGCTCTAATTCTATTTGAAACGCCTGACCTAATCCCATTTATTCCTCTCCACTGAAACTCTCCCACCCCCTTCAGCTTTGTTTCACTCAAACCCAGGACATCCAGCTTCTTCTCATTCATAACATCCACAATCATCTTTCTTATCATTCGCACAACATCCACGCACATTCAGACTTCCCACTTTGATGGTTTTCTTTCTTTTTTTTTTAGTATGCTGTACAGGTAAAGGGGTTACTAGCCCATTGTTCCCGGCATTTTAGTTGACTTTTACAACACGCATGGCTTACGGAGGAAAGAGTCTTATTCCACTTTCCCATGGATATAAAAGGAAAAGCAATAAGAACAAGAACTATTAAGATAAAATCAAAGAAAACTCAGATGAGTGTGTGTATATATAAACGTTTACATGTTTGTGTAGTGTGACCTAAGTGTAAGTAGAAGTAGCAAGACGTACCTGAAATCTTGCATGTTCATGAGAAAGAAAAAAGGACACCAGCAATCCTACCATCATGTAAAACAATTACAGGCTTTCGTTTTACACTCACTTGGCAGGACGGTAGTACCTCCCTGGGTGGTTGATGTCTACCAACCTACTACAATGCCTGCACTTTAAAGGAGGGGTTTGGGATATTGGCAGTTTGGAGGGATGTGTAACAGGACGGTATATATATATAATTGGGGCCCTGATATTATATTCTATAGGGAGTTTATTATATTATTTCAGGTCTCTTTTTATACTGTATCTTTATATATGCTTCTAAACTGTTGTATCTGGGCACCTCTGCAAAAGCAGTGATTATGTGTGAGTGAGCAGAAAGTGTTGAATGATGATGAAAGTATTTTCGTTTTGGGGATTTTCTTTGTTTTTGGGTCACCCTGCCTAGGTGGGAGACGGCCGATTTGTTGAATATATATATATATATATATATATTATATATATAAAATTTATAAAATATATATAAACACGATCTCTGGCTGAAGGAGACTCGAACCTACGAACCTTAGGACAAGGTACGCAGTGCTTTACCAATCTCCCCACACTGGACAATACCTTGGCGTGTAGCATGTTGTCCAGTGTGGGTAGATTGGTTAAAGCACTGCGTACCTTGTCCTAAGGTTCGTAGGTTCGAGTCTCCTTCAGCCAGAGATCAGTGTTAGTGTATATTTCGCCTGCTCTCTCGAATTATATATATATATATATATATATATATATATATATTTATATTTATATTTATATAACCCTTATGGAGACAGAAACACAGGAGGTTGATTGATCTGTATATGTCAACCTTATTTCTGGGGTCCTCTTCAGCAGGTCTACTGAAGAGAATCCCGGAAGGGAGGTTGACATATACAGATCAATCAGTCGCCTGTGAAGAACAAACAGGCATAATACCGTGACTGGAAAAATACACGAATAACCCCCTTCCCGACACACACACACACACACACACATAAGAGAGAGAAGCTGACGTCTTCGTCTAGGTCCGACTTATACCATAAACAAAGTCACACTATAAAACGAATAAGTGAGGGACCCAAGAGGAGAAGAAAAAGTAGTGGTAATGATACGGTGGGTAGAGGAAGTAGTAGTAGCAGTACAAAGTAGAGAGAGAGACTTTGTAAATGGTCCAAGTAGGATCGAAACATCGTCGTAAGCTTCTCTCTCCTATCCGCGAATAATTTGTGTAACCTGTTTCTCTCTCCAGGAGGGTTATTATTAAACACTGACAAGTGTTCATTACACTTTAGTTATTCAAATCTTATATTAATTATCTTAATCTACAAAATATATCTTTATTAAGTATAGATGAATCACATGATAAGTGTTACTTTAAATGTTAATAAAAACGTCCGAGCTTTTATTTTTTCTAATAGTAAGTCACTATGCAGGAAAACAAAAATATTATATTTAAATAACTATAAATGTTGGTTAAATATGCACTGACATTATCAGCGTCAGAAAATAAAAGAAATAAATCTATGCTAAATTACACAACTCTTAGCAATATTAGGTTAGGATGGTAAGTGTGTTTTATATTTAATTAATACAGTTTATGCAATGTTTATTTTTCTCGAGACTATCTTCCATTACAAAGAAAAAATGTGTAAGATTTTGAGGGGCTAGAGTAAGGGGGCTAACTGGTAATCATTTGAGAAAAGTCGCAGTTGGTGGATGGTATGCGTGTTGTAGCCCACGAGCTAACAAAATGCCTGGTGATAACTGCACCTTGTCAGCCATCTGTGATAGTTCCCAGCTGTTTTGTTTACACAACATTTCACAAGCTTCAAGGTAGCATGTTTTCGGTCAAGATCAAAACTGTCTTAAACTGAAGGTCATAAAGAGTGCAGTTTTTTTAAATTTTAGTTAGCAGTTTACTGTATGATCAGAATGTTTATTATGATTATATAGTTTTTCTACTAGTAACTGCGTAGTTTTTTAAAGCGATATTAGTATATAAAGTTTGTTCAAGGTACCAAAAAACTTTTTTTTAATAAATTAACTCCTTAAATTTCCGCCCTTTTAATTAAAGAAATAAGGAATAAGGTAGTTATTGATAAATAACTATAACAATTTAGTTATTTATAGAAGTATGAAGTTTGTGAAAAGGCTAATTTGTCCTACACTATTTTAGAGTTTATCTCTTAAACAAAAGTTTTTTGATCGACACCATGCCTAACCCTTCTAGGGTAGGGTAGGTGCCTGAGCCCGAGCCTAGCTCATAAGACTGTCATTCCCATTTGCCCTCTTGGGGCGGGGATGGCAGACCAGAGAGGCCTAGCTTGTGGCTAGGCCTGGGGACAGTTGGTCCCAAAGATGAGGAGGTACTTGTGCCTCCTCCCATGGGAGACTTAGGTCTCAGATACTCCCTAAAGAGGGAGCCAAGGCCGGGCCACCACTTGGTAAAGGCCCGGGCCGGGAGAATACCGGCTAATATTTAATAATTTAATAATAAAACAAAAGTTTGTCTTAAGGTACAAAATATCTCTAAGATCTAGTATTAGATGATAGAGTTGCTATATACACCCAGAGATATATGGATCTCAGAGTGCATAAATCTCAGAGTTTAATCCCTATTTAACGGATTAAAGTTTTCTTGAGTGTTAGTATCCAGGTGATTTGGAGATTTAATGGCTCACGAGTAATGAATTAATTTTAAATATAACTGTATATTAGATAAAATTTCAAGTGATGATGCTGATACTCAGGAACTGAACAAAAAATAAGTTAAATATGTTATAAAAATTTGCAACGACAGTGTGTGTTGACTTTTGAAAAATCTTTATTCACTGACAAATTGGATTTTAATGGGGGTCGCCTCCTGCCCAACTTATACAAAATCATTTTTATTTAATTTAAAAAAAATCTAGTTGATTGTCCCTCACCTTTTTAAGTTCTTGATTATAAAATATATTTTGATGATTGTTCTCGAAAACTGTTCTCGAGGATTATTGTCCTAAAAGATGAACGTTCTCATGTAAGAATATATGCTTATATGAAGCTATTATGCGAAGAATGCTGTACATTGAAATTTTGGAATCCCTGATTAGGAATAACGAAGGTAAATTTGCTCCTACAATCTCCTATGTGCGGATTATTTGTGTATTGTTCCAGTCAAGGTATTGTGCTTTTTCATTCTTTATGGATATATAATATATATATATATATATATATATATATATATATATATATATTATATATATATATATATATATATATATATATATATATATATATATATATATATATGCAAAACAACAATCTGTGAAAGAATAGAGAAATTCCAAGCGCTTTCGTGACTACTCACATTATCAAGGAACAATGTTTACTGTGATCTTATTGCATATATATATATATATATATATATATATATATATTATATATATATATATATATATATATATATACATATATATATATATATATATATATTATATATATAATATATATATATATATACATATATATATATATATATATTATTTATATATATAGATATATATATATATATATATTATATAATATATAATATATATATATATAGATATATATATATATATATAATATTATATATATATATATGTATATATATATATATATATATATATATACATATATATATATTATATATATATATATATATATATATATATATATTTATATATATAATATACATACATACATACATACATACATACATACATACATACATACATACATACATACATACAGGAAATAATAGCAGGAAAAAGCTACTTTTAACGGGTGTATAATGTGTAATCTTTACCCCAACATCCACAGTATTACCTTTCACTCAGCTCAGCCTCATTTTACTACGTCAGATTTTTATAGTGGACCTCAACATCATCTTCTTGATGTTTCCCTTCTTTCCTAAAACTGAATTTTATTTATATTATATTAGATTAAGTTCATCTAGGCTGACTTAGGTTAGGTTTCATAAACCAATCAAAATGTATGTCGAATCACAAGTCAGCATATTACATAAACCGACAATAATGCGTCTGACTGATGTAATCGAGAAAAAATTGTAATGTTTAAATTTGAACGTTTATCACTCTTGTGGCGAGAATTGGCTGCTGCACCATTGCTTCGCAGAAGGTCTTATTGCAACATTTCTTATAAACCATAGCATTATCAACACTTACATTCCCACCAAGGAGTGTTATCACCACAACCTTGACATTTCTCGGCGGGGCATCCCAGTCTCATTTACAACTTTGGTTTTAATTAATTTCCAAGAATTAGTCCTTAATTCTCTTAATTGTGGCCTGATTTTTCATAGATGTAACGGTTATTTTACATGCTGGCTGGAGTTAGAAAATAGGAGCGAGAATAAGGGACAGGGAAGAGAAGAAACCTGGAGAGAGGGAAAGAGAGGAGGTGGGAGTGGAGAGAAGAGGGGGATGAAATGATTGTGTGTATATATATAGAGCACTGTGGCGCCTTTTCTCTAAACACATAACTTACTCCAGCACAATGGCTGCAAGAGTCTTAATCGTCTTAGGCTCCCTGATGGTGAGTTAGAGCGGAAATTAATCTTTTTTGGATTTGTGTTTGTGATAAAACTAAAAGTGAGATAATTCCAGTTATCTTTGTGAACTTGCTTCACTGACGGCAATTCATTAATCAGTGTATCAATTTCTTCCCATAGGTGATGAACGTGAGGGGAAGGTGAGTCCGAATCATGTGATAATTACTGTGTTACGTACGTTTTTGTGTTCTATGCAATGTATTTTGTGTGCTATATCCTGGGTTTCTGTTTTATTTAAGATTTAAGTCTTCTTGTTTCTCTATATGTTAACTGTATTTGTTGTCTACTTCATTGGAGACTTTGTTTTCCATTACGACAATATTTTGTTTCCTGCTATGTTGTCAAACAGTTTTGTTCATCGTTTATGTACCGTTCAGGTGTTTTATCTCTGTCATATTCTTCCTGGTGCTCATGTTCTTGCTGCATGTAACTGTATCATTCTCACTTGCAATGTTCTTCAGTAATGTGTTTATCAGCCCTCTTATTTTTAGTACCATCTTTTTTTGTCTTCCTGACTCATAAATGTTATGTAATTACCTTAACTCACTTGAATTTTGACTGATCAATATTCATTTTTTTTATTTTTATTATATATGCATAATTGTTTAGGAATTAATTGAATTCCATGTGATGTTTTCATTGCGTGAAATAATTTCAAATTACTGTTTCTTCCTATTTGTCCTTTCCTATCAATTTATGAAACACTGTCTCGCTTATTTACTTGAATATATTCACTAAATATTTCAAGTTAAAAATGGCGCTTGCGCCTCTGGGACTGATTTTCTTTGCGGAAACCTCATGTGTACGCCATTTAAACTGACTAGCTGTTGCGTAATTTATACATAAATATGAACATGCGCTTTTGCGTTCTTTACATTTAACACAATGTACTTTTGCAATGTATTTTTCACACACTGAAAACAAAAATATTATACCGGTATATGATTTAAATTTCTACACGGAGGCTTTTCTCTATACACAGATAAAATAGCTATGCTTCTAAGTTTATTTTATTGTTCTATTCATATAACACTGCTGTGGCATTAGTAGGAACCACATATTCCACATCAGCATTAGCTCTCTCTTCATCAATCGTTTTTTGTAATACTTAGCATAACTGATCTCAGATTTGTATAATATGTCCCTGATGGCACCGGCATAGCTTGTTCCTAATACTATATATTTTATAAGCATAAAAAATATCCAAAGTGAAAAGTAAAGATAGCCAAAATGTAGTTTCTATGCCTGTCTGTCTCCCTCTTTCTCCCTCTCTCTCTCTCTCTCTCTCTCTCTCTCTCTCTCTCTCTCTCTCTCTCTCTCTCTCTCTCTCTCTCTCTCTGTTCTTGATATACAAGGTTTGACAAGGTTAGGTTAAGGATCCCTAGCTTTATTGACAAGCTATTTACAGGTTAAGGATTCCAAACTTTATTGACAAGGTAAGAGCTGTTACCTACATCAGCTCATTTGAAAATATTTTTATTATTATGAAACATACAAGTAGGTAACAGGATGAACTTGGAGCCAGCTGTGGGCCAGCATTTTCATCTGATCAACTGACTTTATCTCGTTGACATCATAATGCTGTACGAATGTGTTCCATACTCGAGTCGTCCTGGGGATAACAATGGTCCCAGAGCGCTTTCTTGTGAAACACTTGCCCCAAGAGGATGTTTTGCTGATTCTGTTCCATTGAGAACTACCCTCAGAGATCTTCCATGAAATTAATCACTGAGGAGACATAGCGTAGAGCCACACCCGGTCGAAAGCACCAGCAATGTCCAGTGCTGCCACACAGCTGACTTTGGATTCATCCAGTGACTGGTGCCACTTAGTGCTCTCTCTCTCTCTCTCTCTCTCTCTCTCTCTCTCTCTCTCTCTCTCTCTCTCTCTCTCTCTCTCTCTCTCTCTCTCTCTCTCTCTCTCTCTCTCTTTTACATAGAGTTTGACAAGATTAAGTTAAGGATCCCTAACTTTATTTGCAATCGACAAGTTAACGATTACTAACTTTATTGACAAGCTGAGAGCTGTTGCCTATATCAGCCCATTTAAAAGCAATTTTATTGTTATGAAACATACATGTAGGAAACGGAATGAAGTTGGAGCCATCTGTGGGCCAGCATTTTCATTTGATCAACTGACTTTACCTCGTTGACATCATAATGCTGTACGAATGTGTTCCACACTCGAGTCATCTTGGGGATAAATGATCTCAGATGAAGTGATCTTCTGGAGAAGGGTACAGCCAGAGTGAAGTTGTTGCTTTCTGCCCGTCTTGTGGTATAGAAGCTTGCTTCTTGCTGTCCTCGAAGTGGAGCCCAGTGATGTACTTTGACAATGTTGGCCATGTACATAACAATAAAGACGCCCACATCCCTCCTGTGTTGAAGGATCTGTTGAAATGACAGATCTATCCAGGACTGGCTCAAACGAGAGATGAGGCGTCTTGCTCTGTTCTCTACTCTGTCCAACAGTCGCAGATAAGATGGGGGGAGGGGAGAGGGCAGACAAACCAAGAAAGTTAAGCATACTGAAGGTGTCAGTGCCTTTGTGCTTTATACAGAATCTTACAACCCTACTGTCGAGCAAATGCGAGATACAACAAAGTGTTATAAACTTCCTGGATGCCGTGTTAGCAAGATTTACAAAGTGGTTCTTCGTGGTCAGTTTGGAGCCAAATTTCACCTCAAGTATATCAACTTCTTCCCCGGGTACCAACACTCTCCCATTCATTCTTACTACTGCTCTGGCATTACAATCATGGTGCCTAGAGACCATTATCATTTGTTTTCTCAGGTGCAAATGTTACCTGCCATCGGTTTCCCCAGGCTGATATAGCTCTTAGCTGGTGATTGATGTAGCTTAGAGCAGCTGGCATTTCATCTCTTGGATAAGTAAATGTCAGATTACAGTCGTCTGCATATGTATGGGATTCTATGATGAAATGAAGAAGGTCAATGAAACAGATATTCCATAACCACATAGATGAGGGAATAAATAGCGACATAGCAAATTTGCTGATGACACCAAAATAGGCTGTCCAATTCATTCTAATGAAGACATTAGAGCACTCCAGGATAATTTATATAAACTGATGCAGTGGTCGGAGAAGTGGCTGATGCAACTTAATATAGACAAATGCAAAGTTCTAAATGTTGGACAGGACAATAACCATGCCACATATAAACTGAATAATGTAGATCTTAATATTACGGATTGCGAAACTGATTTAGGACTTCTGGTTAGCAGTAATCTGAAACCAAGACAACAGTGCATAAATGTTCGCAATAAAGCCAACAGAATCCTTGGCCTCATATCAAGAAGTATATATAATAGAAGTCCTCAGGTTGTTCTTCGACTTCGAGTTAGAGGTGCTGCTAGCTGGACTGCACATCTACTCAACAGTCTTGGGCTCAACTTGTCTGGGCCCACAGCCTTTTCTTGGTTAAGCGATTTAAGAAGAAGATGAACTTTCTCCTGCTTTATTGTCACCACTGACAGTTTTGATACAGTTCTTGCAGCTAGCCGAGGAGGGTTCCTTGCTGGATCAGGAACTTGTATTTTGGTAGCAAAGTGTTCGGCAAAGAGGTCCGCTTTCTCGTGGTCCCATCCTGTCGATTTAGAGGTGGAATAAGTTCATCAGGCAGATAACCTTGTCAGTCCTTGACCAGGAACCACCAGGTTTTGGAGCCTACTCTACCTGATGCTAGCTTTCTTTTTGTATCCACCTCCCATTTAGAGATGGCCCACTTTTGAAACTTCCCCCCATAGACTACAGGCATGCCTTAGCCCTTGTGGCTTAGCGCTTCTTTTTGATTACAATAATAATAAAAAAACAGGCATGCCTGTGGAGGTTACTGTTTTAGGTAGTAGGAGTCTCAAAAACCATCCCCAAGCCTTGGGACTTCGCAGTAGCAGCCTCTCAACAACGAAAGCCGAACCAAGGCTGATCTGTAGGCTTCGTCACATACTGTTGGTGAGGGAGGTATTCTTGTTGTAGATTAAGGATGTGTTCAGTGAAGGTATTCACTTGGTTGTCAACATCCCCTTGGAGAAGAGCATTCCAGTCGGTGGAAGCGAGCTCAAAGCAAAATGCTGGCCATTTACCTCTTTCCCATAGCCAGTTTGCGCGTGTGGACTCCTCAACTTGTTCTTTTGGGATCTTAAGTGTCGTAAAAACAGCCTTGTGGTCAGACGATCCAACATAGCCGAGGGATTGACAAGTGACTCTACCTTCTGCCAGATCACTCACTACTGGGTCGAGGGAGGAGCCAGAGATTGTAGTAGGGAAATCAACGAAGTTTCTCATATCAAACACTGCAAGAAGGTCATCAAAGTCCCTCTGTATAGGATGTTGGTTGAGGTCACCAACAATTATGATATGTTGACAGTTGTGCTGTAGCAGAAGGGAGTCCACATTTTCCATTAGGAAGTTGACGGGCTCTGCATGTTGCCACTGAGGTCTGTACATTGCACATACTAGTACAGAAGTAATAGTGTTTATGCATAGCTTGAAGAACATTTCAAGATGAGTAGGGATGGCAACATCAACAGGTAAGGCAACGAGGCAGCTGCTGGGATGTAGGTCTGTGGTCTTGTATAAAGCACCAAACCACCTGCTGGGCTGAGATAGAGTAGCTGAGTGGGTGACGTGTGAGTGTTCACCAGTTCAGAGATCCTGCAGGTTTGTTCCGAGAACAGGTCTCTAAACAGGTGATCCTGTCTGACAAATTCCTTTTTCTTCCGACACTGATCCTCCTGATGTCCCCTCTTGTGGCAGTAATTGCACCTGGTATCTCTTGTTAGTGGTGTTCCCACTCCGGTGACAGTGAGAGCACTGCCAAGGTGCCTGGGAGGGTGGACTCCTATTTGTTGCACCTCTTGTGTATCGATGCTGATTTATCCACAGGCTCTGCCGCTGCTGAGCCTGGTGATTATACGAACAGCAGGGACAGATGCGTTCTTGCTGTTCATACTCTGGCGCAGCACCTATTCAGGTGCAGTGATAATGCCGTGATTATTAACTGCTCCAATCTCTGGTGGAGAAAATCCTGACTCAGTACTTGCAGATGAAGCACACACACACGCTCTCTCTCTCTCTCTCTCTCTCTCTCTCTCTCTCTCTCTCTCTCTCTCTCTCTCT